ACATCAGACTGCCAAGCAATGATGCATGTGGAAGAGTCCTGATTCACAATGAACTCTCCAGATCTTGATTCTATGGGAATTTTTGTTTCACATAGATTCATAGAATGGTTTGGGTTGGAAAGGACCTCAGGGTCATCTAGCTCCAACCCTTCTGCCATGGGCAGGGATGCCTCACCCTAGACCACGTTGCCCAAGGCTCTGTCTAGCCTGGCCTTGAACACCGCCAGGGATGAAGCATTCACAACTTCTTTGGGTAACCTGTTCCAGTGCCTCACCACCCTCGCAGTAAAGAGCTTCTTCCTTATATCTTCCTGTTTTAGTTTGAGTCCATTATCTCTTGTCCTATCACTACATGAAGTTGAATATCCCAGATCTCGGACTTTTTCACAGGAGTTCAGGTCTGGCTGACGTAAAGAGCAGTGGTTCCAGCCAGGGAGTATCCATAAACCAGAGCAACACCTGGTTTGGGAGTGTTGCTGCTTTCTTTTCTGCTCTGTTTGGGGTTGACATTTTTTCTCCATGCTCCTTTGAAAGTCTCATTTTCATCCTATGTGTTGTGGGGGGCAGGGGAAGAACAGCAAATTGTAAATGTTTTTGCAAAGAAGGATGTGTTCTTTGCCTACCAGCCCTGTTGCGTGGTGTGGTCCTGGGTGTCACCAAGGTCTGTGCTACTCTCAGAAACTGAATGAAGGAATGAATCCATCACACCTTCATCATTTTATACAGACAGGGAAGAGTGTTTTGCCTGTCAGATTTCCTAAGTATATTTTATTTTCCAGAAAGGCTTATATACAAACTTTGGTGACCAGAGTGAACACCTGCCTAGCCCGGGTCCTCAGTACAATGCTTACAATGCCTAACCCAATGCCTACAGATGTGTAAGAGCCAAAGGAGGCACATGGTGTTTTCGCTCCAGGTGGTAAACTTCTGTGGTACTGTGACCACAGGCTTCAACAGCCATTAATTCGTTTTATTTCATTAGAGTGAACTTCCAGAAATCCACCCCACAGCAGTGAGGAGACCTGTGGTGCAGCTGCACAGCGTGTAAACTTCAGTGTGGTACCTCTGAGCTGGAGTGGGGTCTGCCTCTGGTACTGGCAAAGATGAAGGACTATTCGCTGTTAACCATGTGAGCCTGTCACAGTTGTATTATAGTCCATTCCCCTCTGTTCTCTTTTCTGGGCTGGAGAAGCCTTGTTTATTTGAGGAATATGAAAAAATGACCCTGAAAATATAGTCAATGACAATATTTCAATCTGATGGCTCGCACATTGCAGAAGCCTTTAATCTTTCTTGGAATAAAGTAAAGCCTAAGTTAGCATCTGGCTGGAAGCACTGTGATGCTGAGCTCTGCACCAGAAAGAGGAGATTCTGAGCACACAGCCAGGAGATTATTTTCAGGACAAAATAAAATCTATGAAAACGCTTAGTCTCTACCTTTGTGCTCCAAATCTTTGTGCAGTTTTACGGGTTTGATTTGTAAATGTGTAAAAAGGGATTCATATTAGCAAGAAAATATTACATGCTTTTCTTGCTGAAAAATTAGTGATATGAGCTGAAGGATATTGCTTAAAATAATGCTATTATCAAAATGATACTAGTATCACTTAAATCCTTGGAAATACATCTTAGGATAATGCTTATTTTGAAATACATGCTCCCAGTTTCAGAACTGTAAATATTAAACAGCTGCAGTTTATACTAAACATCATGATGTGAATGCAACTGCATCTGGTGCTTAATGTTGTGTTGTACCTGCTATATTATAATGAAGTTCTATAGAAACAACTCTTTCAACTTGAGAAGTGTTTCTCTGAATTTTTATTATTTTTTTTCTATATTGGAATTCAGTCATGTTTACCCTCTGAGTATTTTAATTAAATGCTTGGGGTTTTTTTAGTTACAGATCAACACAACTTTTTTCACAGTCCTAAATTGTTCATGTTTCAAATTGTCAACAGCCAAAACTAAAACTGACACATTCATGTGCAGTGCAGCTCTGCTGCAGCACTGGGGGCATCTATTACCATAACTGAAGAACTTATATCAAATATATCTACAGCAATGTTTTCTATGTATTAACCAATTTTCTGTATTTCTAATTTGGAAAGGAAATAAGGACTGGTTCCTGTAAAGGAGTGACTCCTTCAGCTGGTGCAGATTTTGACAGTGCTGTTGTTTCTGGTGTGGATAAATATATATATAGTTTTGCATGCGTTCAAAATTAATGTCCAACTTACACTTTCAGTTGTAACCTGGCCTCTGGGAATAGACTGCCTATAGTGATGACTTGAATCCAGGGGTCCTGAACAGCAGCAGTTCTTGCTCTGCATGGTTTGTGAGAGGTGGTGTATTCACCTGCTCCCTGAAAATATGGGAGGTAAAGGGAACTTGAGAAGCACAATCCATCCCCAGTAAAGTAGGTTCTTTTGCGAAGTTGTGATTCTTCTCTCAGAGTTCTTCAGGTGCCTAAATTCTGAATGGCAGGTCAGGGTAAGTACCACTCAATTTTCAGCAGCTGTGATACAATAAATCTTCCCCAAAGGAGCATATCACCAGGAAGAAGAAACTCAGCATGACTATGCTCAATCTGTAGTGCTGTTTTTAGTAGGGAGGGCAGGGGCTGTATGGATGTGTTCCTGGAAAGAAGTGGCTGAAGTGCAACATACCTATGCAGCAATTAAGAGTGTGCAAGTTGAAGCCTCTCCCCTGGCAGCAATGAGTGCACAGAGCTCTTGTGCTATCTGCTGAAGCTGGGGCTGTTAATCACAGCTGGTTCTGGGAACTCCTGGCCATGCCTCACCATAAGTCTCCATAAGCACAGATGGCACTGGGAATACTGTTTGACACGGAGCATCACTCACTCTAGCTTGATGTAACATGCACCGAGTCCACCAAAAGTCCAACATGTAAATGATTGCAGGTAAGGAAAAAACATGTATAAGTGATGATGTGACTTGCATCATGAGCATCACTAAACCAATAAGTAGCCTACGCACTCGCTGTGGCAGCGTGTCCTGGGGACAGTGCTGTGCAATGCTGTGGGCACTGAGTGATGATGGGCAGTGTTTAGATTAACATAATAAGCTGTGATGAGCAAAAAGAGCCCTCAGACTATGTCATCTGTCCTTTTACAGTGGGAGACTGATGAGAGGGCCCCATTTAAATCATTATAAATATACATTAATCAAATTTGTTAAAGGTTTTTATTGGCCTGTGCTCTAATGTGTGCTTCTTTTCCTCATTAATAGATGGACTTGAGAGACTGTGGTGACTAATTAGTGACTGAGCTGAAAATGAATGAGCCAGGTGGGATTCTGCTCTTTCCTTTAGCCTCCTGGCTAATGGTGTCAAGGCCTTAACGAGGCGAGCTTGTTTGCTCAGTACAGAACAGGCTCTTTATTTATGTGGGTATTAGCAGTCATTTTAATCACTGAGTCCCTTTTACCTACTTGTGGAAAGCTTGTGAATCACTTAGGAAACCAAGTATTAATTTACTAATGGGCTTCACTTGGGCATTTCCCACCCTGGTTTGCGTCTCAGGCACAGAACTTGGCTTCAATATAATGCACAAGAGGGGCAAAGCTTTGGAGAAAAATGAATGCTGTACAGGATCCATGTTGTGCACTTTTCGGGCTGGTTTCAGGCTTTTGGAAGCTGCCTCCTTCAGTTTTGTGCTTGTAAATTTTAATCATCAATCCTTTACCTTTCTTTAAGTTCTTTAAAACAGAAACACAAGTAATTTCTTACTTGACAGTCCTGTTGTGTATTAGCTGCTTGTGCTCTAACCAGCCAAGGTACTTGTGTAGGGGACACCTTAGACATTCCCAGGTTCTGTTAGCAGGAGGAACAGTTCTCCACCCCCCTGCCTGCAGTGGCCCTTGTAATATCCTAGTGGTTCTGCTGGCTCCTGTGATTGCATGCATGCGGATTGTTTTGTTGTTTGAAGAGGGGGCTTTGATGGCCCATCAGGAATGGAGGAAAAGGAGATCACACAAAAAGTATGTATAAGATTTGCAGGGCCCCTGGTTACAAGTTAGGATCTGAATTTCAAGTTCTGCAGAACAGTCTGAGAAGTGGTGCCTGTTTTCTCCTATGTACCTGGTAACTATTTTCCTTGTTTCCCTGAGAGTTCATTTCTCTTTGAGCTATTTTCTTTTACTTGAAACACGTGGCTTTCATTACAACTTGTTTTCAATCTTGCCATGTCCTCCCGGTGCCTTTCCTTGTCACACTGTTGGGCAGCCCTGCAGCAGCACCTGTTGATGAAGAAGGCATGCATGGCAAGGGCAGTGCTGACGACAGCTCAGATCACCTCTCAAGTGGTGAGAAACAGGATATGGTAATGGGTAATGCAATGCACACCATTAGAAAGGGTGCAGAGGTGTGCACAATGCCATGACAGCAGTGCTGTAAGTGAGGGTCTGCTCACGGAACCTTCAGCTTCTCCTTTACTGGCAGCCTGCAGCCCTGGAGACTGCAGTCATCATATGGAGCATGAGATGCAGCCCTTTTCTCTTAACAAAAAAAAATAAAAAATATATATAGATGTGTATATATATATATATATATATAAACTACACTGGCTTGTTTTGTTTTTTTTCTGATGCTTCAATTCTTGGTCATTTTATTGTTCACCTCTTAAGCTTTTAGTGGCTGTTAAGAAAGAAACTCAGGACATAGAGCCTTGAGAATGATTTCGATGTCCTTCTATCACATTCAGCCCACTTGAAATACCCACTTGAATGGTCTGTACCTTAAGTGTAGTGCCTTAACATCTCGCAAATGCTGCTTTTCAGGAAGGCTCGGAGCCAGGCAGTGGGTGTGGCCCCCATGTGAAATGAAAAAAGGCTTTCTCCTGCATCATACATAATACAGGACTGAGGAAAGAAACCGTGACTCCTGGTCACAAGACCACTTCACCATCCCAAAACTCAGGGGAATGCGACACTGCTAAAGTAACCAGGGAGTTGTACCAAATAAGCAAATCAAGTTAAAGATACTTTGAAATCTTTTCTTTATTCAGGTTTTACAAGTTATTCTCCTTAAAAATAGTTGTTCCTACAGCTAAATAATACATTTACTTCTTTCTCTGCATTTCAAGGTGTCACTTTAGCCACTGGCCACATAACTGCTTCAGATCAGTGAAGGGGTGAGCCAGGGACCAAGATGGCAGAGATGAAAGGCCATGGCTGGAGCCTATAAATAAATTATGTAAATGATCACAAAGAAATAGATACCAAACATGTCTGCATCACAAAGCTAAAAACAGATTTACAAGTATGATTAAGAGGGTTAGCTTTTTTTATAAGTTGTTCTGGTTTGGGTTTTTTTGTTTGATTTTTTACTTTAGAAGTGGGTCTGCTCCAAGTAGAACTGGGACAAATCACCAAGAAAAGCTGTCAAGTAAAAAGTGGGGATGAGACTCCTGCTCCCTGAATGCGAGTGATGCTTCCCCGGGATGGAGGAGCTGGGATGGACTGGGTGAGTGACCTGAGTGACTGTCACAGAACAGAGATGATGGCCAAGAAATTGCTGACCTGCTGTGATACACAATTTAGCAAATGAGTTTTGGAGCGTATGCCGAAGGGGCGTGTTTTGGCTCTTGCAGCCATTCCATGGAAATTCCCACATCACATGCACTGGAAGTGGATACATTATTTCATCAATGAAGATAAATGCTGCAGTACATAATATGAAGGCAATCAATACTAATAGCAGAGTGAAGCATACAATTCTTGTTTCCATCTTCTGTTGGACTATTATCAATATCAAAATACTCCATCTGTATGCATGGATATTGACTAATTCAGAAAAAAAGTAGGTTAAAAATGCTAACAAGTATAGCTCTTCAGTAGAGATGTATTTTAGGTGCTTTACTTTGGTTTTTTTTTCTCTCTATTTATGTCCTAACTTCACAGAGTACATCTTTCAGGAGGCACCACAGAGTCTCTTGGGGCACTTTTTTGCCTGGTCTGAGGGGAGAGACTATCATGGGAGACAGGCTGGAAGAGCTGCTCAGCCCATGGGCAGAGGAGGAGACTTTGGATGTGACAGTTCAGGCTTCGATCATGGTAATAATTCAGGCAGAGAATTCCTAGGTTAGCTATATTGAATCAAAATGTTGCAATACATTTCAGTAATCGCTTTTACAGGAAATGTACTCCAAAATGAACAAATCATTTTGACAGAAAGCTCTCTGAGCATCTAAACTCATGCAATTTTTTTCTAAAAAGCTTCAATATATCTTACGATTGACCATTAATATAGAATATATTTAAAATACTTGTAGTGAACCTTTTTCCTGTTTAATACAATGTTGATGGGGGATGAGTAAAAACTTGTCTTTGGGCATCTCAATAGCAATCATTATTTTCCACTTAAAATTGAATTACATTTAAATTTTGGTTATATATGTTTTAATAGCAACAAATGTTACTCCATTATCGTAATACGCTGCAATTTATCAGCTCTGAAAATAGATAAATCAGTCTATTAAAGACAGACAGTAAACTATCAAGACATGGAGGCCAATGGAAAATATTGATTTGGGTAGCATTTAAAGGGGCCATGCAGATCTGAGTTGCAGACCTGTCATTCCTTTTAAAAGACAAACAAAACTCTCAGTTTTTCAGAAATCGGCCATCCCATCACGTTCTCAGGCTTGATACTTCCCAACATCTGCTCTCTTGCAAACAGGGGCTGCTTTTGTAGGTGGAGGAGATTGCTTATGCAATACTGAAGCTCCTGTGTGGGATGACAAAGCCTCCTGAGAAGACACAACACAATGATTTTGGGTCCAGCTAAGCTTGCTGTGGTTCTCACCACTGAAAAGCTCTGCTTAGTTGAGGCTGCAGTGAAGAAGATATTTGTCTGATGAGCTTTAACATCTGATGAAAATGATCCCCACGGCTTTCTTTCTCACTGCCAACTTCTTATGGTTTTGGGGCCACACATGGAAAACCCCAGAGCCAGATGGCCAACGAGCTGCTGTCTCTCTCCCTGTGGTGCAGCGTGCCGACAGGAGGAGGCTCTGGTTCCTCAGTCACTCAGGGATCTGAAAAGATGCTCCTTAGTGCAACACCACAGTAAGTACCATGACATGGGCATTTTACTGAATGGTGCAAAATGTTTAGGGAATCCTGCCCAGAGTGATAAGCCATTGCAGAAACTGCAAGCAAAAGGAAGTGTCAGGCTGATATTTATCTCCAGAAAATGCTACTGTATAAAATTTTTTAAAGCTAACTTTAAATTTAATAAAGCTGTCCCCTCAAATCAATTTTGTTCTTATCCTTGAAAGGAGAGAACCTTTTAAGTCCACTGGAAAATGTTAATAAACCTTTCATGTTGTGTGCTTTTTTTTTTCCTCCATTCAGTAATAGCTGTCACCACCTTTCTTTCCCCGCTTTCACCTTAACAAGTTAATACACTGCACTGCCTCCAGCCTGTGCTGTGATTATTGATTAACAGACTCTTCAGAATATGTTTTTGTTTCTCTTTTTGTGCAGACTGAACAACCATTCGTGTTTCATATCGTCTAGTGGACACCTTTGGGTGAGAACTTCAGCAGGGGAAGCTCTGCCTCTTCCAGTACATATCACTGGATACCCACAATTCCCAGGCATGAAATGTGCTGCATTCTCCTCCTTCCCATGCACTGGTCAGGGACAGGAAGATGCTTTGACCCCAACATGACCCCTTCTTCAATGCAGAGACTGGTTGCTCCTACAGCAGCAGTAAATGTTGAACATTGCCGCTACTCTTTTTTGGGATGATGTGTGCTGCATATCAGATACTCTCACTGCAGCAAAGGGTACCACTAGCCCCCACTAATCTCCATCGTCCTGGGGCCATCCCGTGTGCTAAGTGAGGTAGGTATATGCAGCCTTAAGTTTAACTGTAGCTTCTCATATCTAGACCTTAACACTTGGGTAAAATCCAAATAAACTTCCTGCTGCCTTTTGGCAAGAATGGATATCATCCTGCTTGCCTGGTGCCTGTCCCCCTGCAATGAAATCCTGCTCCCTACATGCTGGATTACAACAGTACATGCTGTTGTACCAAGAGAGATTTATCAACTGTGCAAATCAATACATTTCTTAAATTAGCTGGACCAGAGTAGCGATGAGACTGACTGAACCAAATGCAATCTCACGCTGCCACAGACAAACATGAAATATAATGCTTTCCACAGGCTGATAAGCCCCATCACACGCTGTGTCATTGTTCTGCCATTCTTCCAATGCTGCTCCATCATTAACAGGGCCTTCCCGTGGTTTGGCCTTGCGCAAGTTGAATTTTAAGCATCATGTACACGGGTAAGAGCAGCCCTGCACAGCTGCTCACTGTGTTCTCAGAGCTGCTCTGTGCACTTCTCTTATGCACTTGTCCAAGGAATGTGCTCTTTTTTACCCAGCTGTGGTTTATGGGCACTCAGGTCTGCAGGACTCTTACTCTCCCATGCGTTGTGCCCACCCTAAAATGATAGATTTCCAGATGACACCCTTCACACACTCTCTTCCAAGTACATCTGCCCGTGGTATTTGCTTTATCTGGAAAACATGTTATTTTTATCAAAGGATAAAGTTGTGGTCTTAGAGATGAACACTGAGAAAGCTACAGCTTAGCTGCACATCCGTAATGGACTGCACAGATTATTTTTATTTTTTTTTTTTTTACCATACAGCTATTTTCTGTGATATTCTGTGTGTATTAGGCACAGTATACTCCGGCTGAATGCATTTCAATTTCAGCATAGGCTCACACCATAATGATGAAAATGGAAAAGACAAGTGATTCATTTCTCAAAATTAGCCACATCTCCACATTTCAGACAACCAGCCATGATAAGATGTCTTGCACAGCACTTCAGCCATGTTATACATGGGACTGATTGAAAGATGGAAATGAGCCTTAAAGAAAATGACATAAAACTATTTACCTGTATTCAGCAGTGGCCAGCAGAACCTCATGCTGATGTACTGTCAACATATCTTCTCAGCCTTATGTTTAATTCAGCACATAACTTGTAGTGGAATAACATCAAGTCAAGCTTTTATTAAAATTTCCTTACTTGAACTCTGAAAGCAGCCAGTGTTTTTAGGGTTTAAGCATGATGGTGAATCGGGAACCGGGAGAGCTGTTAAGTAGAGCATCTCAAGATAGTCCTGGATTCAACTAACTGGCTCCTACCTTTTATTCAGCAGCTCCCTCTGCTCTCATGGTTGCCTCTGGGGCAGGGTCTCCCTTCCTGGCATTTCCAGCCAATGTCTAGATAGGTGACCACCACTGCATGGGTAGGGCAAACTCTTGCTCCCTGTGTTTTTCTGCTTAAGTGGATTAGACGGACACCAAGGAACAGCAATAGAGTGGTAGGTATAAGTGTGCTCACACTCACAGTCATTTATTCTTATGTCACAGCAAAACCCACAAAACTGTTTCCTCCAAGCAAATATCTGCATCTACTGTGTAAAGACCTCAGCTACAACTTGCTCTTGTGTTCTTCATGACAAGCTATTTTCTGGTGGTCGCTGGTTTTAGTACTTGACTTCTCCTGAGTTAAATACCAGTGACTCACCTGCCAATGCAGCCTGGCAATGCCATGGCGATGGGCTCCAGCTGAGGACACAGCTCTGCTCCCCACTGGGACTCAGGGTGGTGTAACATGAAACATCTGGACTTCAGAATGAAAACCATGAAAAAGACACTGGTGTGGAGGGGAACTAGGTAAAAAGCAGCTCTCGTGCTGTTCATCTCTGTGGTAGGTGTTTTCCATAGCATTTCAGGAAATTGCACAGAAGGGAAGGTTATGAAAATAGTCTGCATTCAATCAGTGTGTTTCATTCCTCTTTAATTTTCTACTTGCTATATCAGCCAGTGGTTTTGCTTCCAGATTTTGCCATCCCATTCTTTTCTGTGCTCACACTGGAGAAGATCCTTGCGTGCACTGAGGCCAAATGTTGCAACACCTCCAACTGTTTATGAAGCTTATCCCTCTCTTTGCAAGTCCTAATGTGCTAGCCACTTACTTCAGCTGGTCTGGCTGCATGGGGCCAGGGATCATGGGGACTCTACAAAGCGTGCGGCTTCAGCCACCCCTGGCACCGCTACCTAGGCATGCCAGCATACCTGCAGTAAGGTTTAAACAATGACTAGGTAGGTAATTAAGATAAAAGTATAAAAACAGCCCTTTGTCTGGAATGCATGACTTGTTTGAGCAAAATTTCTTATGTGGAAACATGAAAACTGACAAATGGGAATAATTTTGTGCAATATGTAATTAAACTGTACAACTTACTATCACTGGGAGTTGCTATGGCAAATAATTTATACAAATCTTGAAGGAAGGGAAAATATACACAGATGACAACAATACCCAGTTATCTGACTTACTGCTGAAAAGAGCAGGATTTATAAATCTTGTTCACAGCACTGAGCAGTTGGGATGTTCCTACTTTGCTTTCCCTGAAAAAAATGTGTCTTGCTTTTTGTTTTGTTTTCTTATATTCTATTTTGAATTGAAATTTTGTACAATCTAATTTAAAATGTACTTTCAGACTAGGTAGGGTTTTATTGTTATTATTTTGGAATAGTTGGAATGGAACATTTTTACGGTAAGATTTTCCTCCTTTCTCTGTTCACTGAGAAGTGTTGGGAGATGTAGCATGGTTCTGTAATATATTTTGACCAATCTGAAGGTCACTTCCACTGAACTAAGCTATTTTCAGAACAATTTTATCTAATTTATTTGCCTTAATTTTGTGGTCTAGGTATGAATGCTTAGTTACTAATGGTGACTAGTTATTTTTTCTTTGTATTTCATGTTTAAGGTCCCTTCCAACCCAAACTATTATATGATACTGTGATTAATTTTTGTTTTTTTTTTTTCTATTTCTGGCTGTCCCATTTTTCCAGGAGACCTCTTTCCAGAGACTTTTTCAGAGCCCTCCAGCAGCCTGGCTCTCTCCAGCTCCCATCATCTCTTTGCTAGCCCCTGGATGCACCCTCCAGCCTGGCACCCACTGGCATGACTTCAACAACACTAGGACACTAATTTGATATGGAAATACCACTAAAAGTTTATTGAGCTGGGCCAGGATAAATCGCCACCTTTCATTTTTAAAAAAGTAAATTCAAACACCTGGATCTGGACCTTCCAAGGGGACAAAAAGCATTTTGGGTAAAACATTAAAAACTGCACTTTTCATGGGAGCATTTTTCCAGTCTGAATCTGCAGCCAGCTCCTTTAATTGATTGCAAGTGTCTATTGTTGCCAACTATCCACTAGATTATTCAAAGGAATAATTTTCACATTAAGACTGTTTCTGTGTTGTGTATTAATCATTAACTATTCATTATTTCTGAACTGTGACTGACCACCTAAATTGAGTGCACTATATCTGTTCTTCAGTTAGGTAATTGAAATGCTCTTTAAATCAGAGTAATTAGTAGTATGACTTTTCAACTGAATTATTTTTTATCCTAAATTAATTGAAAAGTCTGGGACTTGTGAGATATTATGCCCCTTATTTGGCACTGATCTGAATTCTGTCAGATAAAGACTGGTATGAATTTGTGAATTGCCTTGAACAAACCTGACAGTTTCTATTTGTAAAAATATTAACAGTTCTGGTTTTGGATAATTCAGCCAGCTCCAACATTTCAGAATATTTCAAATGCAATTTGTAACCAACAGGGCATATTAGTTACAGAAGCCATGAGTTTAGTGTCAGCATACTAATGTCGTCTCTTC